CACACCATGCTGGCCTCCGCAGCACATGCTTGGCTAGAAATACTAAAAGAGGTAGAAGAAACATATTGAAACTGCAGGAAGTCCAGGCTCCAAATATTCTGGCTGACAAGATATGAGGCAATTTTTAGTCACTAATCTCATGCTACCAGAAAGAATTTTTATTAAAAAAAAAAGTAGAAGACTTACGCAAATGTAATGACAGTGAAATCTAGCCAATTCCATGGGTCTCGGAGAAACGTAAAATCTTCTAAACAGAAGCCCCTTGCAAGAATTTTAATAAGTGATTCAAAGGTATAAATTCCAGTGAATGTGTATCTGAGGAAAATATGCAAGAGAGAGTTTATAGATCACATTATTTTTGCAGTTTATGCTCTCTACTTGTTTTATTCTCATTTTCTTCTTTTTAAGTTGCATAAGAAATAATGGCAGTTATAACCAACTTTAACATCTGCATAATTTATATCATAAGGAAAGAGGAATGAAATTAGGATTAAAAGACTGACAACCCACATTTTAAATTCAACTTCTGTAATCTATGCAATAAGATAGATTACTTCATTGGTGCATGTTTATTACCAGTCTGAATCCATGTTATAACAAGACACACTGATGGATTATGTTAGTGTTTTAGAAGCTATTTTCAGGATAAAAATTCCTTTCTTCAACGTTATTTTTATGCTGAAACGTTGCTTAGTCCCAATAGTTGGCAAGCGCCAACCCCTATCAGTCTTCATTCCTCTGTAACTGTTACAGAGTAGGTATATCCAGTACTTCACCTTCAGCAAGGCAGATGTAGTACTGGAGTCAAACAAGTGCAAGAACAACCAAAATTATTCATGACTGCAAATAAAATTCAGGTACTCGTTTTGACTAAAAAATGTAGTTGAAATGTAAATGGAAAAAATATTTAATTCTGGAATTCTGAGTAATTTCAATCTTCTGTGTCCAAGTGATGCCATCCTGAAATTTAGTTTATTTATATCTTTAATGAAAAAGAATTCAAATTAAACTGCTTAAGAAGCTTACTCTAACTGAGTTAACCTGAAAACAGATTTTGGATATGGAAGTTTTCCATTCAATTACTAAAAAATTTATTTCCTGCAGAACTTTACTCCACAGATGAGGGCATGCTTTGTAACTCTAAATGGCACAATATTTAGACATGAAGAAATATTCAAGCAATTAGTCTTTATCATCAATTTTTACTACATGCTGAATACATAGATGGTCCCACTGAATTCAAAATGAGAATGTCTTTGTTGACCTTAATAGCCCTATGATTTCACTTTTGATTTCTGAAGATTATACAGGTATGTATCAGCCCAAGCAGTAAGGAATGAAAAGGCAGCAGAAATGAAACACCAAGAGCAGTGTTTCACACTGTGGCCTGCAGCTTTGGAACTGTCACTGTGTATCGGCACCTCGCAGCTGGCATCGTACTGGACCAATGAGCCAAGCAGATATCATACTGCAGCAATGATTAGCTAGCCATTTCTATACTTTTCAATAGCTTATTTGCATACAAGTTTTCTTTTGTTACATTGGTTTGGTAAGAGAAAGATGCACTGTGATCAACACAGCCATCCATAAGGTGATTCCTTTATCTGTAACAGTTATTGCAACAGAGATGAAAGATGCATTTCCCTGCATTCTTTCATAGATGTGACATAGAACTCAGTCAAAAATATTTATAATCCACTTTTTCTGTATGATCATAAGAATAGCTTTTCTTACATTTTCCATCTAGTACTAGAAACAGAAGAATGACATTAAAAAACTTGTCATGAGACAATTATACGTATTTAACGTTACAGTAAAGGAAATAGCATCAGAATAGCTGTTAATAGGATGTGCCAACAAGGTAGCTGCTGCCAGTACAAGCCATCCTAATATAATTTACAGTACTTTTTTTATTTATTCAGAGAAAATCCATTTAACTTACTCTACATTCTTTGTCCAGTCTGGAGGGTTACTCATGGTCATAAATACGCAGTTGGTCAAAATAGTGCACATGATAAGCATGCTGAATAATGTAGGCTAGGAGTTAAGGAATGTAAGCTAGAAAAATCTCATAAAAAGAGGATCAAATAACACACTGCTTTGGTAGATCTTCACATCAGGAGCTATCTGTCCCTTCACTGCTCTTTTAATAGCCAGGGAAAAGCCCTGAATATGCTAAAGCTTTCACTCACTGCTTTATAGCTAAAAGAGAACAATCATACACAAAAAATTAGAAAATCTGAAAGGCATTTTAAAAAGCACTCCAACTCTCAATTCTTTTTCCTTATTGAACAAAAATGTCAACATTTGAATTATTAGCTTCTAATTTCATGGAATAACACAAAAAGTATTTATTTTAGATGATCTAGATCTGCTTCATGCATGCAAAGCAATGAAAGATACATTTTCTTCACTTTATTGTTTTATCATAAAATTAGGCACATATCAATATTTTTCCTTATCACCATGATATAGTGAAAGCTAGCTGCCACATAGTAGGACAGAATATAGGGAAATCTTAGCAAGAAAAGTATTTTATTGCTGTTTGTTTCATATATGACTTTTGTAATATAAATGCTATTGGGAGGGGAAGGCATATGTGATTCTCAAAAAAAGAAATCCAAAGAGAATTCCAGAACAGGTCCAAGTCATAAACAATTTCATATATTTGAACAGAACCACTCTAAATCTACAACCTTTTACTCTCAGAACTGTTGACGTTCTTTTAAGACAAAAAAAATACAACCACCAAAATGAAAACCATACAGATGAACCACAAAACGCCCACATGATGGCACCAACACCTAAAGCTACAGAGAAGACAAAGCTCGAGTTTGAGAACAGCTGCCGGTTCATATGGTGCTCCTAAATAGAAATCTGAATATAATGGGGTGAGAAGTACTGTGAGGTTCCCCTCGAAAACTTTCTTTGCATGTCTATGTTAATAAAAAAGCCTTCAAGTGATAATGATACCCCTACCTTCTGAGCTGTGAAAAAACTGTGGCATTACATTCAACAATTCTTTGGGTTTTATGTGCAATGAATATATTTAAAATCCCTTACTGAGAACTTAGCTTCTCTTTATGTAAGTCAAATATGAACAGAGCAAAGGAGAAATAAATATATATTTTGAAACATTAAAACCACATGTTACAAGTGTTTCACCAGCCTGTACTTTACATAGGCCTTCAAAATCCTTTTTGAAGAAATGTCCACTTAGAGTTGCAAATCCTCACTACGCTTTCGTTAGTGGAAAAATAACTATGAGATATATTACCATAAATTTAAACAATGTGTTTTAGGATTCTGACTTTGGTGACTAGCTCTTCACCACCACCTCAGTCCCACAATCTTCAATTATTCCCCATAACTCAATAATGCTCCAGAATATGGTAAAGAGTGTCATATAATTGAAAAATAATTATTTGTAGTGCCACCTGTAGCAAGAAAATGAAAACAGGCTATGAAGTATTATGATAGTTTTGGAAGTCATTTGTAGGCTAGACATTGATAACACGTACCAACTGCTGTAATTATCAGTCTTCCAGTATACCAAGACTGAAAAAAGCCCTGAAAAAATGTTTAGTCTACATAATCTTAGGATCCCTATATGCAATGCTAACACAGAACTATTTTCAGTGTGCTTATGTCAGACTTCTGTAAATACAAATGTTCAAACATTTATATCAGTTCCTTATTAAGTAAGCTGGCTTTCTAAAGTCAATGCCCTCATTGCACATATTGGTATTTGGGATCAGACCAGTGGGATGCCTACTACAGTCAGCTATTAAAACCCTGAAAAAGACAAAATAATAGTTAAGTAATTATAATAATTTAGCTTTTAAAATCTCTACCTGCAATGTAGAAATCTCATTACCTTCTTGAAGACTGAAATTAAAACATCAATAGGCTTACAAGTATATAATGCAATAATGATCCAAGAAATAAAACAGACAGGTGGGATACATACAGGAGTGAGAATGTATAACAAAACAAGAAACCTAAGCTGTTTCATGAATTTATCTTTCTGTAAGCATTAGCTGAATCAGAAAATTAAAGGGAATAATGAAACCATATTTTCACTAAATACTCATGCAAGTACAAACCTGGGATCAAAGATTTGATTTTAATACACAGTGTTAGGGAGGAACTGAAAGTATTCTGAGCAATATATCTACAGGTTATGAAAAAATGTTGAAGAGGGGAAAAGATGAAAAAAAAGATGTGATGATTGCAGAAAAAAATAGGAGGGAAGGAAAAATTATGTGGGGGAAGAAAAAAGACACAGAAATTGTAAAGGACGATGACTGGTTGTCTGATTCCCGGTATTACTATATTAGGATCCAGCAATGAACAGAAATGTAAAAGGAGGATGAGAAAAAGAACAGAAGACAGAAATAGTAGAGAGAAGAGGGACAAAGCACTACAGATCATATTGATCCTGGAACATGTGCCAGAGACTGATTTAAATACTAAGTAACATCTCACTCATTACTGTTTAGACTAACCACTTGAAAAGGATATGAATGTACCAAAATCTTAATAGCTATTTTTCTAAGAGGATTGAAAGGAGTTAGCATATACAGGGCAGAAGTGGCACTGAATCGGAATATTGCCTTTCCTTTATTCAATACTATAAAGGTCTGGAAAGAGAAAAAGAGAATGAAACATAGCATTTAGAAGATACCAAGTTACAAACCCTGAATCATTTTCATTTCATCATTAATCATACTTGGTCAATATGCTCTTTTTTCATTGACACAATCCCCTTGTCCAATTCACACACTGTAGCGTCCAGCCAGATAAATACAATTAAATGAACACTTGAATGCATCTATTTAGAAATCATAAGTAATCCTGATAATTCTAGCTAGTAAACAGAGACAAGTATAAAAGTAGCGTAGGTAATATTTGGAGAATTAGTATTTACTTTTTGTACAGTATGATGTATACACTGAGGTGTGTAACTGCAACCAAAATGAGAGCCATTAAAACTTCAACTTCAATCCCTAAATCAAATAACCAGCATAAATTATCAAATCAAAGTAGTAAGACAGAAGTAACTCAAAGTGATCTAAGTTTCCAGTGATCATGAAAATATGGAAATTAAGAGTGTCCAATAACCATTTTTGAATATAACACTAATGTACTCAATTTTTTCTGTACTCTGAGAGTGATATATTACTCTCCTTTTCAACTATTGCTTGTGATACTTCTGTACCTTCAAATTTATTTTCCTTGTCATACTTTACCTAATACAGAATTCACTCTATTCACTGTATCCATATATTTTCACTATCTCTACAGTTTCAGCAATGACTCATGTATATTAGCAACATTTAAAAAAGCATTTCTAAATTTAAGAGTGATTTTAAAATTCAAGAAATAAAGAATAAAACCTGTAAGGTTTTTGTAAAAAATATGTTGATTCCCACACATCTGGGGAAAGTCCTGTCTATTTCCATCATCTCTGCTTTCTACACATGGATGAAAGTTCATACTTTTTGAAAGGAAGTGGATCTAGACAGCATTGTGGCAGTCCTAGGAAGCCCAAGGGGCACATAAGCCATGCAGACCTGGAACACTGCCAGCAGCCATGATCCTGCCTCAACTGCAATCAGAGGGCAGCATTTGTCAAGATTACGCTCTACTTTCTGAGCAGGTGTGGCAAATAGAGCAGCTGAAACCACAGTGCCTCTCCCTGCCTAAAATTATAAATTATAAATTATAAAAATCAGTGCTTCCAAACTTAACATGTTTGCATTCTCCCATACTTAGTGATTCTCAAGCTGCACTTTGATCTTTCTTGTACAGGAGTCTGTAGCATGCTCTTTACTATGAAGATTTTTCAACTCTTACTATTAGTCCTGGAGTTAATGAAAACAGGGCTTCTAATAATCAGAGTTCTGTGTTTTCTGTTCCCTTTACTCTGACAAAACCTCTGATGAAGTAGTATTTGTGTTATGCTGACTCACCAAGTTACATTAAAAATTAAAATGGAGCCTGACCCAAAAAATGATGTTCAAAAATATGCAAAGAATAGTAAGAAAAACAATAGGAGAAATTATGATTGCTACATCCAGCTTGAAGTCCTGCTTCTACTGGAAACCACAATGCTTTTGGAAAAGATCATGACAACTGCTATGCATTTCTCAGTCAGGAACAAACAATTCAGCAGGATTTTACTTCACATCCAAACTTAATTGCACAACTACTCTTCTAGTTTCCAAAGCATGATGATACATGCTCTAACTTTAGGATTTCTGGCATTGAATTTAGATTTTTACTACTACATAATGCAGAAAGAATTAAAGACAGGAATCAGTATTTTGACCCAAATTCTATTTACCTTCCAGACTTGAACAGGATAAATCACTTGAGTAAAGGGAGCAAAACACGATAATTAATTGAAAACCTTGTTTTCAAATTTAACTCATGATTCTCCATAGATGAACTCAGTTTTAGAAATTCTGCAATGAACACTTAAGGCACAACTGATTTTTTTTGAGCTATCTGCTTAGTTCTTCATGGTATGCCTATATTGCTATTGTTTCAACATTTTGCTGATGAGGCATACCCCTAATTCCTGCTGGAAATATCTTCATTTGCATTTTTTCTCTTAGTCTGAGTTTGAATCATAACCATTCTTGGAGTTTTTCTTCATTTTTCTTTGAAGCAGTTTCTTCACTTTCATGGGTTTTGTTTTTTAATTCACTTGTTTTTGTTAGCTAGTTAGTTTCCACAGGAAAGAAAAGAAAGCAGGAGAAAAAAATTATGAAAACAGAAAAAAAGATAATTTCTTCTTTACTAGTAGAATAATGAGACTGCAATACATATGATGCCAAAATCAAAGGGACTGAAAATCTGGAGGAAACCCAGGGCCATCTGGACACTAGTCTAAAGTTCAACACTTTTGTGCTGGCCACAGCAGTTGTTGTTACTTTAAAAAAAAAAGGCAAATATGTGGATTTCTTTTTTTTTTTTATTAACATCTCCATAAAAATATTTTTTTAATTATGTAACATTCTGTCAACACTCCAAGTGCAATTTCTACCTCCTCTTTATTTATGTCCCTCTTTTAAACACCTCCTCTTTGAAAACAATCATAGAACAAAATAGAACAGGATAATAATTTCTTTTTCATCCACACTAAATTGGAGATATGATGCCTTTACAGAGTAAATAAGGATCAGGATGATCATCATATCCTGAGAAATTACCTTTACATACTTCCCTATCCTTCCCAGTGACAAGAGAATGCAACCTAAACTTTTCACAGAAGTGAAGAAATCTAGAAAGATGTGTAGCTTCCTTTGAGATGAATTTCATATTGAAGACCTTCTCCTTTCACAACTATAATACAGCAATTAGTAATTATTCTAAAGATAACGCCTGTGCTGCTAATTCAATTCTCCTGTGTGTAAAACACTAAAAGTTACAGGTTTTAATAAAATGTCAGGTTTATAACAAAAAAATTTAAGTGCATCTCTACTGATCTGTAAGGTCCCATAAACTTGCATGGCTAATTTCTGTTCTTAGAGTGGAGATTTCTGCCAATCACATCAGCTGTTGAGGGAATATTATATGGAACACTCTGGGTCAAAAATAATAGAAATACTATGTCTTTGAAGGGTTCTTTGTTATTTATTCTTCTTAAAGTCTGATAGAAACATACAACAAACTCACTTTTTTATTGATATAATATGGGTCCAGGTCTTCCAAGGGCTCGGACACCATTCCTGGAGGTATGTCGCCGTAAATAAATGGCAGTGTCTTTCCTGCCTCCAAGTCACTGTTTGGCTTCGGGCCATCTTCATCATCATCATCTTTGCGTTCTTGTTTGGATTTTTTAGCTTTTTCTTCATTGATACGCTGTTCAATAGCTGCAAGTGATTCTCTTGTGAAATAGCGGAAGCTGTCGGGTCCTGGTGGTACCAGCACTGATTGTGCCATCTTTTCATCCTGCACCTCTTAATTACTGTTCAGCCTCTCTCATAAAAAAGTGCTAAAAATATAAAAATAAAAAAAAACACAGAAAAAATTTAGAGCAGCACAGCTACAAACAATGTAAAGTAATATACCATCACAGAATTTTGTGTGGGGCACCTTGTTAAATTCAGTAATTATCATCCAAGAGGAGGTTGCAGTGAAATGAATTTTTAAATTTGTTTTTATTTCAAGACAAACCATCTTCCTTTGAGCTTGCCTCTTAGAGTTGTCTCAGAGGTATCAACTCTTAAAACATTTAGTTTAATATTCACTTAGTGCTTGCAATCAATAGATTGTCAATTCTACAGGTTGATAAAAGTCTCATGCAATACAATAACATCTTTTGCCTTTATCAAGGGTAATGTTATCCATTCCTATGAATAAAGTAGGAGATATTTTCCACTAAGTGTAAGGAATCAACAGTTCTGAAGTATTTGGTTCAGTGTTGAGGGGTGAGACTCCAGAAAATGTAGCTCTTTGTAATCCTGAAAGCTGCATTTTGGACCAGTCCTCTCTCTAGCTCCATGGACCTGAAATGACTCTTAGAATCCTCTATTGCCACGTAAGGCCAGAAGGATCAGTTGAAAGCAGCACAAGATGCTCCTTCTCTTTGAGTACAAATATGCTGCCTTTGCCGAATTGCCAGCTCAGGAAACAAGGTTCAGGCATAAGCACCTGGATTCAGATCCCCTGCCTGGCAACACACTGTGCACTGGAAGAATTGCTGAATTAAACAAAACCAATTTTTAATTATTACATACTGCACTTAGATCTTTTATGTCTCATATCATATCAATTGTATATATATTTCACAAATTTCATTAGCAAGAGCATGTCTCCAGGCAGTTCAGTTTAAAAGAAAAAGTGGAAAATATTCCCAATGCAAATACTTTGATCTGAAATCGCAAACAGGATATCTGCTGTAGCCTACAAGAATTTTTCTCAAGCGTCCTTTGGAATAAGCACATTAAAAATATAGCAAGTGCAATAAAGTAACGAATTCTGAGTTCGACAATATACCCAGAAACAATTATCAGATAAAAATGATACAACAGTTTGAATACAATCAGCCTGATCCTATTCTACTGTCTCGCTTAGCACACATACTCCAGCACAGCTGCAACAAACTAATATTTTTGAAGGCTGTTAAATAAGCTGCAACACGATGCTTTCTCCTCCTTTTCAACCATATGCACACAGCCACTTACACCTACACAATCCACACACATCCCAACTCCTGCAGGTCTCCCTGTGAGCATGCTCTTCCACTGCAGGCAAATGCACCTGGTGCATTCTGTCATGGACGGTCTGTACCAAAGCTACACTGACTACCAGCAGCAGAAGGGTTCATTAGGAAAATGAAAGTGGTCCTGCAGCAGAATCCTGTTAGGTTTTATTTCTAGTTACAGGAGGAAAAAGAAAAAGCATAATTCTGTTTTAATACTGCAGGAAACAATTAAAAATTCATTACCAGTGAAGAATCTTGCAGTTATGTGGGTTTGGAATGGCACCAGGGAAGACTGCAGTTAAAATTCCATCATGCTTCTCCTTTTTTTTTTTTTTTTTTTTTTTTTTTTTTTTTTTTTTTTTTAAATTCTCCTTTTACAGACCACACCTAACTTCCTGCTGAAGGATCCTGGTTATTGAAGTAAAGTCTGGCATTTCCTGTGCGAGCCTACTAAGTGCTGTAACTCTTATTGCCAGTAGATGGTACTGATATATACTCATAAATTATTCTCAGAAATGGTAAAGAATTTTTGCATCATGCTTGAACACTTGCTTAAACAGAGACTCTTGGACTAAAATATGTGATTTTATATAACCAGTCAAGTCTCAAGATTCTCAAAAATTCTTTTGAATACATAGCAGCTACTGCTGATGTGACCATAGCTGTTAAAACTGTGAACTTGAGATAGAAAGAAAGTAGGAGGGATAGAAAAGAAAGAAAAATCAAAAAATGGAGGTTACACAGGCAGAGTACAACCTAAGCAATTGCTAAAACTGTATTATCAGCAGTCTGGATTATTTTAAGCTATAGGTTGTGTAAATATTCTAAAATAAATGTATTTAATATGTTTGCTGTGCATTCTTTCTAAATGGGGATTGGCCAGCAATGGGAGGGAAGGAGGGCACTTCTGAGTGCTCACTGCAGCAGCAAGTTCCTGTACAGAAGTCATCTATTCTTGCTCCCTGCTGCAGCAGGTGATTGGGAGCACTGTAAGCCACTCTCTGTGGCAAATCAGTAAAACACCCCCTTCGGGCACCACTCCACCAGAACACCATCCTACTTCTTTCCACTCTTCTGCTTTCTCTGTATTTTCCATGCTCACCAATTTTCATACTTTTTCCTCCCGCTGCACCAATAAAACCTTTTTATCTCCCTCCTACCTCACCATCAACCTTCTGCCCTTCACTCCTTCTTTCACACATATACAAATCTCTTCCAAACTTTTCAAGAAAGACACATTGCTGTATCTATATGTTCAGATCTTCTGGCAGTCATTTTCTCTCTGCTGTCTCCTTTCCCTCAGCCACGAAGAGGACAAAAAAAAAAGGTGTGGAAAGTAATAAAAAGCAAAAGGTCTGTCTAAAGTGAGAGCTGTTAGAGAGGGAATTAATCGAGTGGCTGAAGAAATGTCACTGGCTTTGAAAAACAGACAGAAAAGAGGGGAGGAAAACATTGATAATTTTTTCCTTTTGTAATTGTGGTGAGAGAATGAAGAGTTTGACTTGGTCAAAGTAAGGTTTTTAATATTTTCAGCAAGCAAGAAAAAAACGTGCCAAATGAGAACTATAATTGAACCACATCAAAAGTACTGATTTTGTTTTGATTCATTTAAAAATTACACAATAATGTTAAAAGCCTTTTTAGAAAAGTGTTTCATTCAATAGGGTTTTCTATTTTCACAGATGATTCAAAGAAATCAACAAAAAGCCTACAAACACATGGTTTCATGTAACCAATTTTTTTGGTTAAGAAGCTTTGGATGAAAACTTCTGGCTGGCTCTAATTAGGACTATGGTTTACTTGGGGCTGTTCCGAAGTCTCAAAATAAGAGGATTGTGAGACAGCACAGATCCACAGGAGGAGTAGAGGAACTTCTAACTACAAAGGCATTTTGATTATTTATTTGTATGGATAGGCAACTGCTTATGTATGAAAGTTACAGTAAATTATGTGCCTGAAAAGCTGGGCTAATTCACACAATGTGGAAAAGAAGCTTCATTCTTCCATTAACAGTATATTAAGTTAAAGCGTCTGATTATTTGTTCCTTATTGTAAGGGTCTGAAATTACCAGAGATCTCATTTTGATTTCCACCAGTGCTATACAATCTACATGCACAGTGTTAGGAAGAACAGTGAAAACAGAAGACAAAAAGGAAATAGCCAGGGGACATTGTATCCCATTGCCTTAGAGGCTTGGGTCTACAGTCTTACTAGACTGTGAGGAAAATGAACAAGTATTTTAGAGAGACAGACTGGACAGGAAATGCAATATCAGCTTTGCAGTCTAAAAGACATATATACTTCTAAAAAGGAGACTACAGTAATACATCTAGAGAAGCTTGTAACAATCCTTAAAATATATTAGACACTACAGATAGCTCTAATAAATATAACAGATTAAAGTATTAGCTAGAAAGGGAAAATTATTAAATCAAATAGCTAGTATCAATGAAAACCCAATCCAACATAGCCTATGTTTAAGAACTATTGTGTGAACATGTAAAAACTTACCTAAAACATAAACATGAAATAAGAATGGCAGTTCTGGTAATAAGTCATTCCAACTGCTGTCTAGCTTCCCACCTACAGACACGGGAACATTTTATGAACAATTTTATCACTGATGGTATCCATCTTCCCTCTACTGTGGCATGTGTGAAAGCTTGAAGTGGACCTTATCATTTAATCATCTGGGAAAACACAAGGCCCACAGAGAGGGTAGAGATGAAGAAGTGTTTAGTGTCAAATGTAAAGAAACTCTACATTAGGGTGAATGATTTTTGACAGGACAGAGCCAAGAGAAACCTCCAAATCTTTTCCTCACATCCTAGGAGCCCTCATTTACAGACAATCCTGATTAATAAAATTAGAAGAAAAATAGATAACCAGTTTTTCCTCAGAAATGTGTAAAAACTGCCTTTGCTCAATGGCAAAGCAAAGCATTAAAATGCACAACTGGCAACTAGCCATCATTCTCTGTGGTTCTCTGGTCGTTTTACTCTCCAGCTGTGTGTCCCTGTACTATATTAGATTGTTCCTAATTGCATGACTTTTCATTTATAGTTCTGAATTTCATCTTGTTTCAGTAACACCAGTCATCAAGCTCATCTAGTCCTTTCTGTATAATAGCTTGCTCAGTCTTTGACAATGCCTTACAACTTTGTGATAGGAGCAAATTACATTGGCATACTTCCATTTCTTTGCTGAAACAATAAATTAAAATTTAAATAAAATCTGTCCCAAAACTAAAACAGTGGCAAGCAACTTCGACCAAAGTGTAGGTTAATGTGATACTTGCTGCAGTTTGGAAAATATGTGAATATTACTCTAAGACCCTCAATCTTAAAACATAAACAGCCATTAAGTTTATGCTCTAAAATGAAATAGTATTTTAATTAAAAGAGCAAAAGAGACCTAAGTGGAGCTTTTTCTTCTTGTAAATAGTATCCGTTAAATCAAATACATTGAATCTGAAGAATTCCTGTCACCTCTTCCCCCATGATACTTACAATACTTACTATACTACTAAATTAATCAGGGTGATCTAGGTGACTGAAAAACATATTTGCTAGCTTTGAGATGACATGAAATTGGGAGGGCTACAAGTAAACAGGAGGATAGTATTAGAATTTAAAATGTCTTAACAAACAACAAAATGGGCTCAAAAAGTGATGCAATTCAAGATATATAAGTTCTACATTTTATACTTAGACAATATGGAAAGAATTCAGATCACAGAAATCAAACATCCAAGGAAATGTAGGATCCAAGAGATCCTACACTTGAA